GTGAGTGAGTGAGTGAGTGAGTGAGTGAGTGAGTGAGTGAGTGAGTGAGTGAGTGAGTGAGTGAGTGAGTGAAATGGTGAAATGGTATGTGTTTAACGCCCCTATCAACACTGTTAGGTTATTTAAGAGGCGGGGCCTCCAATTTTAACGTCCATCTCCGAAAGGACCGAGCCAAATGGGAAATTCGTGTTAAGTGCTTTTCCGAAGGACACAACGTCGCACCGAGCTGAGGATCGAACCCCCGAACCCGCAATCTCACGATTACGGGTCCTGTAACCTAACCACGAGGCTACAGACGCCATCCTAAGTGAGTGAATGTGTGAGTAAGTAAGTCAATGAGTGAGTGGGTAAGTGAGGGAGTGGTAAAGGAGAGAGGAGTGAGGGAGTGAGTAAGTGAATGAGGAGGCTGAAAGGGGGAAGCGTGGGAAAAAAGTAGGGGATTTGTAGGCCGTCATCGACACAATTTAGATCGTTTAGGAGGCGGAATTCTAACTCTGCCTGTCTGGACCCATCTGGCCCAAGAGGGATAAGGCATCCCAGCAGAAAGATGGAGATACTCGACAAATATTTCTCCCCATGTGGGAATCGAACCCGGGTCGCTTCTGCGTCCCTCAGTGAAGTGTCTAACCGCAACACAACCGGCGCTAGTCTGTGAGGGAGGGAGTGCGTAATCGAGTGAGTGAACCAGCGAGTGAGTGGGTAAGTAAGTGAGTGAGTATTTGATTGAGTGATTGATTGGTTGATTGATTGAGTGAGTGAGTGAGTGAATGAGTGAGTGAGTGAGTGAGTGAGCGAGCGAGTGAGCAAGTGGGTGAGTGAGTGAGTGAATGAGTGAGTGAATGAGGGAGGAAGTGAGTGAGTGAGTGAGTGTGTAATCGAGTTGATGAACGAGCGAGCGACTAAGTAGGTGAGTGAGCGAGTGATTGCTTGATTGAGTGAGTGAGTGGGTGAGTGAGTGAGTGAGTGAGTGAGTGAGTGAGTGATTGATTGAGTGAGTGAGTGGGTGAGTGAGTGAATGAGTGAGTGAGAGATTGATTGAGAGAGTGAGTGAGAGAGTGGGTGAGTGAATGAGTGAGAGAACGAGTGAGCGAGTGAGTGAATGAGTGAGTGAGTGAGTGAGTGAGTGAGTGAGTGAGTGAGTGAGTGAGTGAGTCAGCCAGTCAGTCAGTCAGTCAGTCAGTCAATCAATTAGTCAATCAGTCAGTCAGTCAGTCAGTCAGTCAGTAGATTAAGTGAGTGAGTAAATCTGAGAGAGCATCTGCGCGGGGTATTCTTGTTGCCAATGGATACCATAGACGTTATCATGATACAGGGAAGGTAAAAGCAGCGCTCCAACACCGTACCAGTAATTTAGCAACAACCACAGCAATACAATAAATTAACATCATTGCAAACGACGGCGACAACAGCAGCAGCAGCAGCAGCAACAACAGTAGTAACAATTACCAGATCTTCAGCAGGAACAATATCTGCCACAACAACATCAACAACAACAAAAATAACAACAAATACAACAACAAATACCACAACAATAACAACAACAACAACAACAAATACAACAACAAATACAACAACAATAACATTCAGAACACGAGCAGCAACTACTACATTACCAATAACGACAGCAAAACAACAACAGCAACAACAACAACAACTATAACAACAACAACTACAACAACAACAACAACTACGACGACGACGATGACTGCATTGATAACATTCGGAACACGAGCAGCAACTACTACATTTCTAATAATGACAGCAACACAACAAAAACCACCACTTCCACTATCAACACCACCACAGCAAAAGCAACAACAAGCAAACAAACAAACCGACATACACACAGACAAACAAACAACAACACCAACAACAACAATACGACGAAGTCCCCAAGCACTATAAAAAGTATAATATTATTTCCCACAGTCACTTGAGTCAAGGTTCGGACGTGATAATCGGTTTGACCCTGGTAGCCCGCAACCCTGAGGATATGGAGATGATCGTATACAACGGTGTTCTCAATGACGGGTACTACTCCTCCTCCTCCTCCTCCTCCTCCTCCTCCTCCTCCTCCTCCTCCTCCTCCTCCTCCTCCTCTTCTTCTTCTTCTTCTTCTTCTTCTTCTTCTTCTTCTTCTTCTTCTTCTTCTTCTTCTTCTTCTCCTTCTCCTTCTTCTTCTTCTTCTTCTTCTTCTTCTTCTTCTTCTTCTTCTTCTTCTTCTTCTTCTTCTTCTTCTTCTTCTTCTTCTTCTTCTTCTTCTTCTTCTTCTTCTTCTTCTTCTTCTGTGGGTAGTGGGATTGCACCAGCGTGAGGTTATACTTGTCAGTCTGTCTGTCTGTCTGTCTGTCTGTCTGTCTGTCTGTCTGTCTGTCTGTCTGTCTGTCTGTCTGTCTGTCTGTCTGTCTGTCACATTCTCCACCCCCCCCCCAAAAAAAAAAGAAAATATTTTATATATATACAAACAAAAGCGAAACAAAAACAATAAACAAAAAATTAAATGACTGTTAGGGGGCTCTTGTGGCCTAGAGGTTAAGGTGTTGGCCTCTCATTCAAAGGTCCCAGGTTCGAATTCTGGTAGCGAACGAAAAAAAATTCTTCTCTGAAATTGTTTCCTTTCACCTCCTTTCCTTCTCTCTCGCAATGTTCTGTTGTCTGCTTTCGTCTCCTCTTTCTGCCCCCACCCCCTCACCTCCTTTGCCCCCTCCTCTGGCCTCCAGACTCTTTCTGCAGCTTTCTATTGCTACTCCTTGGCTCCTTCTTATTGCCACACCCTTGATCTTCCTATCGGACAAGGGAGAAAAATCTCGGAGGGTCCATGTGCAAGTTGCGCACGTTTATGATATTGGTCTAAATTGATAAGAGTAGGCTTCGACCGCCACCCGGTCAAAATTCAAAATGTCCTACCAACTGAAAAAGTTTAATGTGTCAGGCGCGCTCATATGACCTTTTACACTTGAGAGCGCCATAAAACACTTACTAAAAAAAAAAAAAGACTTTTACTATGTCAGTGGATTTCTCTTTACTCAAACGTAACTCAAACTAAATCTTACCCTCTAACTAGAAGCACAACACTGGGTATCTGTGTCAACGTTTAGGCTATTTGCTGTCACGTTTCACGTAGTAGACCTAGTTCCAATCCCGAAGCATTTTTTGTCAATTTTTTTCCTTCTTGAGATGTAGACATATGACTGAAACAGAGAGAAGAAAGAAAATAAATAGTAAAGACAGAGAATGATAGGGAGAAACTAGAACAGAGAGAAATGGTAAATTTTTTATACTTAATACAAAGATAAAATCATTTCTACAAAGTTTGCAATCACTTAAACGCTTGTTAGATAGATTATTGTTTCGTTAGTAGATCGATTGTTTTGTTGTAACAATAATAATAATAATAATAATAATAATAATAGTAATAATAATAATAATAATAATAATCATCATCATCATCATCATAATCATAATCATAATCATAATAATCATAATCATAATCATTATCATAATCATAATAATCATACTACTACTACTACTACTACTACTACTACTACTACTACTACTACTACTACTACTACTACTACTACTACTACTACTACTACTACTACTACTACTACTGATGATGATGATGATGATGATGATGATGATGATGATGATGATGATGATGATGATGATGATGATGATGATGATGATGATGATGATGATGATGATGATAATAATAATAATAATAATAATAATAATACCAATAAAAACAATAATAATACGGATAGATTTCGTACTTTTCTCTTTCGTTGTATGCTTCTCGCGGACATTTTGATTTTCGTGATCAAGCAATTTCAGGATGATGTCTTTTAGAAATATATGGCGTTCTCCCTCCTCCCCCACCCCCCAACCTTTTTTTCTTCAAATGTCCTCGACCTCTACTACCTTAAAAAAAAATTCAGTTCCTTCTTTCAAGTAAGTAGGTTAGTAAATGTGTAGGTTTGATACCCTTATCAACAATATTTAAGTTACGCAAGAGGCAGGACCTCCGATTTTTATGTCTATATCCGATAGGTAGCAGCTGAATTGTTTGAGAGCGGAATTTAGAATTCGCCCCCCGGTCAAAAAAATACGTCACGTCCAGTCGGAGAAGCTGATCATGAACTCTAGCCCCCCCCCCCCTCCCCCTTTTCACACTGTCATTATCGATATATTAAGGCTAAATGAGGCTAAATGAGGCTAAATAGCACTCATGCTATAACGGAAGAGGAAGGCCACGCAATAGGTTGATCGAAGGTGTCTAGGAAACTAAGAAAACATAACATCACAACTGACAGACCTGGGGAGCTGGCCTACCATAGAAAACTGCATCTCCCCTCGACGCTTAACGGCAACAGTGGATGAAAAAGTAAAGTAAGTAATGAGGTAGTCGCAGAGAAATCGAGTACTCGCTACTATTGCAACGGCGCTGCATTCACGTATTGTGTGATGTAAGCCTAGTCCAGACATCCTCCTCTGTTCCAGACCATGGCATAGACTGAGCACCCCCCCCCCCCCCACACACACACACATACGCACGCACTTTTTTCTTTAATGAAGCATGCTTTACTTTTACAAGACATATTTCCCGCCTACCGCAGGGTACCCATTCCCACTTCATACAACATATTATTATCTCTACCAAGGACACAGTTTTTGCCCCATGACAGGGTTCAAACCCATGACCCTTCAGTTCAAAAGTACAAACAGCACTTTTGTTCTTGCAAACTACTCCAAATCAGTCTTGAATGTGTGCTCTAAATACATTTTGGACATAATATAGTCTAGTTCTAGAGTCGTGCTCTCTAAAACAAAAACCCCAAAGATGCGCTCCAAATACGCGCCAAAATTTGAAAACGTCCTTACAGCGAAGTAAACATTTTGTGGGTCTAAACGAACTCAACGTGTTGGGAAAATGACTACACCAAATATATTAAGAAAAAGTCAATGCAATGAACTTTGTCCTGAAGTATCCATCAACACTGCGAAGCACACATCCAAACTGAGTTGGATATCGAGATTCTAGATCTGGAAACAAATGAAGCAGTTCACACGACGAAGCACGTTTCAAAACGGAAGTAGTCCCCAATAAAATATGAAATGGCTAAGGGCAGAGTGAAACATAATCTGAGAGCTTCAATTTCCAGGAAAAAACACCAATCTCGAAAAATCAAAAAGTAGTTTCCGAACGTTAAAAATATGCCCACGTAACCCTTTGTGAGAATTCTTAACTGAATCTTTTTTTGTAGATTATATGGGCACCTGTGTAAAAAATTTATACTGACCCCACAAACGGGCTTAGCTCCATTATGATAAAGATGATGCCACGGGGGTTCAACAGATTTTTCCTGATGTCTTTTGTATTATGTACACCTGCTTTGTGTGTGTGGATTATTCATTGATATTCAACATAAAGTAAATGGTAAGTATATATTGTACCCTCTTTGAAGTATTTCAAATTGGTCGCTTTTAAAGACAAGCAGGCCAACCCAGATTTCGGGGATTTCCAGAAATCTTGACCTAAACCAAACGTGGATGTTGCCCTACCTATAGGAGACGTTTGGTTTCGTTGCTGTGTATATTTGTTTTGTTATTGACAAAACTCTCCTTGTCTTTTAAAGAAACTGTAAAAGGGGAAAAAGTTTAACTTCGATTTTCTCAAAACAGCATTTTTCGGGACAGCCGCCTTGTGCTTAAAAGCGACCAATTAAAAACACATACACACGCACGCAATTCTCAGAGATATGAATGGTCATTTATCAGTTTCGATACTCTACTTCAGTCATTTTAAACTATTGGAGGGGAGCTAAGGATCACTTTTTCCAAACGTAGGACTGTGACGTCATGGGGTGGGGGGGGGGGGATTGCATTGTGTCTGTTTGAGAACCTTGAACCTGCGTTCTAGGACAACGAAGCGAAGATTCGAGCCAGAGCAACGCCTTCTGTATAGACATCAAAAGCCAGACGATTGAACAAGCTTAAGACAATAAGTCCATATAAATGATAAAATGTCCAAAAATTGACATGTGCCTGACTTTACCGTATCGTGAGACGCACAAACTGTGTCGATGGGGAAGTAAAACACTCCTACATTTGAAAGAGAGAAAAAAGGATATTACTGGCCGTATTTGGGGGATCAAAAATTTGGTGCAGCTTTTGCTGCATCAGTTTTTCTACCACCAAATAGGAAGCAATACTATACAGACAGTACTGCCGTATGCTGACAAAACAACTTTGTTTTAATTCGCAGCAGTTGGAGATAAACAGCCTTTTTTGTCAGTGTAACGATTTATAGAGACATTCTTCCGAAATCTGAATTCTATTTTATTTTTAAAAAACTAGTCCCAATTTCACTTTGATTTTTTTTTTCAACACGAGTAAGGTAACTGATCAGGCCTTCGATTTAGCAACAACAACAACAACAAAAAATTGGCCTCAAAATTTTTTTAAAAGGCGTTTTGTCAGCTTACAGCAGAGTAGACGTTAAGCCATGGCCATCAGCTGCGCAGTACAACTTGATGCCAACTGAGCTAACATTACGGACGGCCCTCTCCCCTTTCAGAACCCACAGCTGGGGAACAACAAACAGAAATGAACTGAAATCAAGCTCCTTCGTTTCCATGGATGTTCAGTTGCTGGATTCTGTGCAGGTTCATGCTTTCTATTCCAACCACTCAAAGTTTGAACTTTACGTCATGAAACGAATGGGCAACGCCGCTGTGGCGGTTGATAACAGAATGGTTGTTGAACCGATCACGGTACGGACACTATTTATTTGTGTATTCATTTATTGTTTGTTTGTTTATCCATTCATCCATGCATTCATTCATGTAGCGTCGGTAGCCTAGTGGTTCGGCTACCGGGTTCGTAATCGTGAGGTTGCAGGTTCGTGAGTTCGAGCCTCAGCTCGGTCAGACGTTTTGTCCTTGGGAAAGGCACTTTACATGAAATTCCCATTTTGGCTCAGTCCTTTCGGAGATGGACGTTGAACTCGCAGGCCCCGCCTCTTAAATAACCTAATAGTGTTGATAGAGGCGTTAAACCCATACCATTTCACCATTTTCACCATCCATTCATTCATTAACTTACTTACTTTCCTTACTTTTCTCTTCCACTTATACCGGTGGGTGTCGCGGGGAGACACGGGCGTCTGTCAGCTGCAAGTTGAGGGGCCTGTTTGGGAGGGACATCCCGTGAGCTCTGAGGGTATCTGCCACAGATTTGTTTTTAATAACTTATTGTGATAAAGGTGTTTTACGCCCTCATCGACACAGGTTAGATTTTCTAGTACAAGGCTGGCTTCGACTCTGCCAGGGCCTAACCGCTACACTTTAACCTGCAATTTATTATTCATGCAAACTAGCTGTGATCCCTGTTAACGTCCTATATTTTTTTTACCCCAAAAAGAGCTCCCGTTTAGCCC